GTGTATCGAGAATCAATATTGAGTGTATCCTGGTTTCTTATCGCCGCCGCCTTTTCAACCAGGATGGCCGTAAATTTGATTTATCGCCCCCTAAAAACGCGCAATAATTTAATGAAAACGGGTCTCGGAGGTGTCAACTGCGATGTTTACTCACTTTTATTGAGGCGGCGAATATCGTCGCGATAAATTCTGCAACGAGGCGACCAAAGACCTCTTCACAACCGAGTCATTATTGTCGACGTCGGTTTATAGTTTTTGTAGATTTTCTTTTCTCGCTTCAAATGCTTTCTGAATTTTTTGCAACGAAGGTTCGCCGGAGATGAAATCTCGCATTTACAACCTACTTACTTTATTGCTGCCAATATCAATGATAAAATGGATTTTTTTCTTTATTATAGTTACAAAAAAAATCATAATGCAATAGATTTCAATTAAAAAGAAGCTCAATTAAATAAGTATTTCATTTTATCAATTATAGTCTCAATTTAAAGCCGATCAGACCTAAACTGAAAAGATCGAATTCAAAATTTAATATAACACAAATTTTGCTACAAATTAAAAATTGAAGTAAAACCAAATTTTAGATTCTTTATTATACAGAATACGTTTATTTTGGAGATCTTGCTCTGATGGGCTTAATTATACAAATTATTGTTGCTTTTAAAACGAATTTAGTGTTTAAACTGATGAAAAATTTGCAGTTTTTAACTGAAAATTCCCTACATAGGATGTAAAATTCAATGCTTTTATTCTTGATTAATCCAATTTCAAATGGAACTTTCAGTGGCGTCGAGTTTCTTCAGAGCGGAAATTCATGGTTCATTTCTATCTCTTTCTATCTCGCTTATCAACGTCGTTTTTGAAAATTAAAGTTCACTCCAGCTGCGCGAAAACCCACATGCAGCCCATCCCTCTTTTTATCTTTTTTGCTTTCCATTTCAATTTTCTTTTAACAAAGTAGCGACTTTTTGCGGCAGCTGCTATATATCTGGTATCAGCCCGAGAGAAAAATTCTTCGTCGAGTCTGACACCAGCGCCCTCTCGCACCAGAGGGAAAACACATTTTTCCAACTCGCTCTCTCTCTCACATCATCAGTGAGATAAGGTTGAAGCAAGAATGATGGGCCTGCAGTCGGCGCGGCGAGTAAAAAATCCCGAGAAGAGCTGCACACGTCGTTTTTGATGAGGCCCAGCGTCTGCTCCAATTTAAACAGCCGCGCGCGCGCATAAATTCGCGCCCCTCAAAAAAGGCCCAAAAGCTTTTTGTGCGGCCGCGCCTCATGTAAATCACGCGCGGGCTGATAAAAAATGCCGCGCTTATTTATAATCTGATGTTTGTAATTTGTGGCTAAATGTTGCTGAGCCAGATGGCCCCGTTTATCACGCCGAGAGAGGGCACCAAAGTGCAATATTTTCATGTCCTGCCTTTTCGAGTTTTTTCCCCGAGAGCCGCTTGACACCCTCATTTCCCCATTTTCACTCGCCGCGGGACAGCTTTTCGCCCGGATTGCTTGCGGAAAATGTTTCAAAATTCCTAGAAAGGGGGTTAAAGATTTTATTGCAATTATAAATTTAAACAAACCCGCGAACTTTGAGCTACAACAATATTAATATTACTTTAGCCAGTTCTGGAGTATAATAAAAACTTCAAAAAGTTCAATGAAAAATTCAATCACGGATTTGGAAAAAGAGCGATTCGCTGGTTTAAAAAAAGTGATTCGTGGGTTTAAAAAAATTTGTGAATTTCAAGTCTTTCACTTCAATTGAATACACAGATCTTGAGGTGATTCGTGGATGAATGGGCTGGAAGGATGAATGGCATTAAAAAGCAATCGCACGCTCCATGCAGCGGCAAATGACTGAATGACGAGCGCTTTTGTGTGCGGGGCAGAGATTTATATATTTCGCAGCCGCCGAGAGTCGAGAGTGGCTTTTTGTAGAATGCTCTACTTTTCACAGAAACGACGCTTAAAATTTAATATGTATTCAAGTCGTTTGTGTGTGCGGCTGACACTTGGCGGTCGTCGAGGCAAACTTTGCTCACAGCAGCTGCGAGGCTTGTCGGACGGTTGGCTTCGTTCGGCCCTGTTTGATCTCATCTATCGCCGAATAGTTGCGGTTTAATAATAAAACGTCACATCATATGCCGGCCGAGCTCTCAATTTAATTCCTGGGACGTGGCTGCGGCATGGGCTGGACGCCGGGCAATTATTGCTAAACGAGCCTCAGACCATTTCTGCTTTCCAATTAAATAATTCTCGGAACAATTCAAATTCCAGCGACGAGAATTGTTTATCTTGTGAAAACAACTGATGGGATGGAATTTCACTCATTGTCAGGATAAAAAAACATTCAAAGAAATTTAATTATAATCATTATGAAAATTTAATATAAAAAAGCAGAATTCAACACTTATTTATTATGTTAAACACATACAATGCTTCATCTAAAGTAGGTTTTTTAATCGGCAATTGTCTATATTTATTATGATGATAAGAAAAATTTAAATTTTTGACACAAACTCCATCACAATGAAAGATTATATATTTAACGTTTTTTTTCTTTACAAGATGGAATAATTTTTAAAGTTGAGAAGAAGAAAAACTGATTCAACCGAAATCGTCACCGGAATAAAGTTTTGTTTCAATCCTGCATGCAGCGTTAAGCGTCGCGAGATCTCTTCAAAAAGAGCTTTCTCATTCAGTCGCTGCAAGTGGGAAGTCGCGAAGAAAATTTAAATAAACAAACTAGCGCACAAATATCGCCTGCAGAGAGCGCAAATATCTACTCGGCTGCCTTTGCATAATTCATCTTGCTTTTGCTTCTTCTTTAGAGAAAAAAAAAACGAGGAAGGTACATAAGTCGCAGAACCGTCCTCATTTCTCGCAAATCAGCAAACCATTTTTGCCTGATTTCCTCAATTTGCGATGCATTTTTAGTGCGGCCGTGCATGCATGTGCAGAATCGATCTTAGTCGGATGAATCAGATGATTGGCCGCGGCAAAGAGGTCACCGGGCCCGATAAATGATTTTTTCAAGACTGCGCAATCATAAGCAATGATCTTTGCAGCATTGTCCGGACGGGCCGACCGACGAGAGATAAAAACACACATGTGCTTTTCAGAGACGATATTCCCAGCGAGGTTTGCTGGGCAAAACAACACACCACGTCAAACATTGATCCAGGCATGGCCAATAATATTGCAGAGAGAAATATTACATCCGCAAGGTTATACGAAATAGTTCGATTCCTGCGTTGCACCGCAAATTTGATTGATGCGGCGCTGTTGATTGACATTTGAAATTTAGTTCGTTAATTGCAAATTATAGTTGGAATTTAATATTACGTCGTTATTAATGGTTGGAATGAAACAGTTTCAATATGAATTTGTTTATATATAGAATTAAAATGATTGGTTTTTGCAAATTAAAATTCGCTTCTGATCTCATTATTGGATTTATTTCCAAAAATATAAAAATTTATGAAATGGGAAGAATGGATCCTTTAAAAAACACAAGTTATTTACCATTTGACTCTCTCGGTTAACGTTCGTGCATTCTTGTGAATTTTATTACAAATATGATGAGTTGCGAATAATCGTTGCGCAGAATAGGCGTGATGAAGCTCTCGCCTCTCATACTTGATAGCACTCGCTGCCTTTATTGCCGAGCTCTTTGTAATTTTATGAGAGAGAGCGAAACACAGCCACAGCGGCAATGCAGATATTAAAAATTATCTTCCCTTTAATATTGTGCAGAGCAAACGAACGGACGGTCCGCGCGCGTATATTATTTTTTCTTTAGGTTTTGATATTGCGCTCGTCGGAAAAGTTTTCGCAAGAGGAAAAGTTGCCGAAAGAAATGAAAACAATCCGAAACTGAAGCGGCAGTAATGAAAAAAATTTACTTTTATTGACGATTCAAGCCTAATTTTGATCATATAACAAAATCAAAGTAATTCTCACAAAATCAGGGGAAATTATATTACGATCAATTTATATTTGAAACGGAAGAGTCAGATTACTCAAAATGAAGCGAGCACAAACAATGAACAATAAATATAACCGAGCCGGTGAATAAAACGAATAACAAAAGGTAAACCCGAGGCTTTTTTGACACGGCCGCGTCAGAAACGATAAAAAAGCACATGACGAGCTGCGGAAAAAAATGAAATAAAAGTTGGCCATTGTTGGAGGTACGCGCGTGTGTATTAAATTATTCGCAGGCTACGGGGAATGTAAAAAAGTGAAATTAAACTTTCTGGTCGATGGACATGTTCAAATTGAATGGGGTTGAGTTTTGCGTTTCCCTTTAGGCCTGCTGGAGTTGAAATTGCGCGCAACATGGAATCAATTTGCACTTGGAAATACAAAAAAAATTGATATTCGTTTGCAAAAATAAATTAATTTCAATTTTTCTAGGAAATGAACAAAATTGAAAGGAAAAACGTGCCTTCTAATCTTTCGCGATGGCATGCAATTATATGGTAATGAACACAACTATTTTTTTTTTTTTTTTATTAAATGAAATTGCTGACCTAATAATAAGGAGAGGGTTTTGCAAAAAAAAGCGACTTGTTTTAATTTGATGATAATTTTTCTCTTCATTAGCAAAGGTTTGTAGATTTCAGTTCCAAAGAGATTTATTAAAAAATTTAATTTATTGGTGGAACTGAATTTTTATAAATTTTACATTGGTTCTGATGGGAATCCAATTGAGACGAAAAATAATATCAATAGGACAGTCAACATAAAAAATTTGCATAGATGTTAAGGGAAAAGGTTGAGAGGTTTTAATTTCATTGTATATACCGAGCTCCTTGTTAACAGTGGATTAATTGAAATTGAAATAAAAGAGAATACAAATTTTTAGTTTCAATCTATTCAAATTTATTTTCACAAATAATTCACGAATATTAAATATCTTTATGACAAACACAATAAATATTATATTTCAAATTAAAAATGCTTACTGAATCTCTTTTTCATCTTATTTTCCAGATTGATGCTCTAATTGAAGACAACATTCAGAGAAGGCTGCAAACGATACTCCAAAGAACAAGTAAGAGAAGAAACATTTGTCCGCCCACGCATCGTTGCGTAACATTAAAAAGAATCGGAAATTGGAAGCTGGCAGAAAATCGCAAGTGACCTCGCGGAAAGAGGCAAAAAGATTCGTTTGACATGCACGGAGGAACGTATTTACGAGGGGTGGATGCGCGCGGTGTAGGGGCGAGTTGCGACGTCGGCGGCGGGGCGAGCTGCGCGGCCAGGCAGTATCTCGACGACCCTCGGCGAGACCGCCACGCATCCAGAGCCCGCCACTTTAAAGTGGCAAAGAGCGTGTGTGGAACAAATGTCCGTGCACGGATTATCGGCGGACTAACTTGGGCGCAGGATTTAGTGCGGTTGACGAAGAAAAGAGGCGGAGATCGCGAGCAAGGTGTGTGGTGATAAGAGGATGTGAGAATTGATGCGCTCGGCCTGGCCTGGCTCGCTTCCAGACTTTCCTTCTCTCTCACTCGTGGCGTGAAATAACAGCCGGATTTAATTTGTGGCCTGCAAATGCTGCTGCGCTTTGTTGTTATTTATCGCAACAATTTCGAGCCCAGCACGGTTTAAAATAACGAGTCGCCGAATAATGCCGCCGTCGAGGGTGCTTTTCAGCCTTTTGACATTTTTAATACTCGCCGAGGCCCGAAAGCAAAGAGGTGAGTTCTTTTTTTGCTCCAAACTTTCCTGTTTTCTTTTGTTGTAATTATTATTTTTCCGACAGTTTCACGCTCGGTTTGTCTGATTCGGCAAAATTAAAAAGGCAGACAATCAAAGTGCTAATGAGATTTTAAAACAAGCTACGCGTTAATTAATTTTTGATTAAAGACGGCGAGGCACGTTCAAAGGCCTCGAGCACGTCCTTAATTTCGGCCTGTCTTATATATTGCAATCAGAATTATTTATGTACGAATATAAAGCAAAATATCTCACGCGTCTGCGTAAATCAAGTCCACATTAGTTAATTACATTCTGCGGCGTGCAGATTTTGCCCATCACCAACCCTCTCCCCAGCACCGGCGAAAACTAATTTTGACTTGCCCGCAACGGGTGGCTCTTCTTCTCTAAACAATTTCGCCCCGTAAATTTTTTCCAACCCCTCTTAACGCGACACCCTGCAATTTTAAACCACTCAAGAGCTCGACCTTTGTAAAAGCAGCAAAAGTGTTCAGCAATTCGGTAATTAACCGTTTAAGGGGACTTTCCTTGTAATTACACGTTTTATCAAGAGTTTACTTTGTTGCAAAATGAGTTATTTCATCGAGCAAGTATTTTACGTAAAACATAATTTCTCTTATGCTGATTTTTATTCCACGCGGCTAAAAAATTTCAATCTATTTCACCTACTGCAGGTTAATTTTGTTCCATGTTTCTTTGAACATTGAAATTTGATAATCGAAAAAAGGCATTTTTTAATATTAAAAACCTGTTTAGCATTCCATTTTAGATATAACAACAACTTAATTGAAAATTTTTTTATTAACATTATTTAAATAATAATTATGAGGAAAATAATGTTTCATTTCTGTATGATATTTCCATGGAAATTATTTAGTTAATTAATTCTTTTAAAAAATTTACCATCATTTCGTGTGTCTGTTTTGTAATTAAAAACAAGCAATAATTTTTGCAAAATTGACGCTTTCAATTTATATTTACAAAATTTACAAATGAAAATTCTAATTTGGTCCTATTGACCAATTATTTTATGAACCAATTACAAATCGGACGCGGAAGAAACAAAATGATTTGCTTAATTAATATGAATATAAAACCTTACAAAAATAACTTTAAATGTATTTTTTCATGGTATATTGTTGAGCGATCGAAAAAAAACTTCAATTGAGCACATTTGATTGGAAAAAAGGTATTTTTAGAATGAAATGGAAAACTCCGAAGTATAGCCAATTATAAAAGATCAACCCTAAATTCAGTGTAACAGGATTGTAAATTTTAATTTAAAAAAAAAAAAATGGTCGTTTTCTACATCAATTTTCATGAAATCAATTATGCGTGAAAAGGTTGGTATTTTTCACCAAAAGCTTTAGTTCAAAGAGATGTTTGACAATTACTTTACTTCCGTATCCTGTGACGCACTGGAAGGCCTGAGGGTGACACCATGTGTCATGTCCGAAGAAGAAAGAAACTCATCTTCAGAGCAAATCAAGCGTGGCCAACGGTGATCCATATTGGAAGGCGAGCGAGCGAGAGCGAGTTCGGGGCCGAATGTTGTTGACAACTTGGAGAGCCACTTTGGTCGTAAATGATGGTGGAGGCGAAATTCCACTTTTGGGAAATTACTGGCTCGCAATATCGCCGTTTCCAAACAAGGAGGAAAACAAATATCAACTCTGATGCCTATTAGGAGAGGAAATCAATTTGAAAATCAATGCGCGGCTCAATGACATGCACGGAACAAGCAGGGGAAGCCGTTTGCAGATAAGATCACTCAGGCGGATCCATTACATTATTATTCCGGCGCGGTTAAGACAATTACCGCGGAGGACGGCGCAGCAGCCACTTGGGGGTCGATTTGGCCTGGCGCGATCAAGTGAATTTCATTTCTTTCCCCTTTCGCAACTCGGAGGCAGTGACAAGATCAAATGCCCATATAAAGTTGTATGGCGAAAGAAAGTTTTGCTTATGGATCCGGCCGAACCCTTCTCCGCAATCTGAGAGATGCTCTCCGGCAGGAAATTACATAGAAAGAAGGCTGAGAATCCGAGCAAAGTGCCTCAAGGAGTTTCGCCCTGGCATTCAGATTCATCTGCGCGCAAACTTTCGGGCTGAATTTTTCGAATCGGACGCTCCTATTGTTTGGCAGAGAGAGAGAATGTTCTAAAACTTTGCTCGCCCGAGGTGTTTTGAAGACGTCGATTTGAGCAAGGAAGGGAAATAAATGTTCAAATCCCACTTCCTTCCAGTTCATTATTTTGGTCCGGTTGTAATTTGATAATCCACTAGGAAATTTGAACGTGCAAAATGTTATTCAATATTTCATCTCCAAACTTAAATTTTGATATAAAAATGAAATATTTGGACATTTTAATGAAATGTGAAATTTTGCTCCAAGATGAAAGATAAATTTTGCATTTATTCACTTCCCACGTGGCGGAGCTCATTTCTAGTCGCGATGACTATCGTAAAATTGAATCTCATCAGCCGCCCACTTTTTGTACTTGGCCCAAGGAGGAGTTTCTTGCCGAGCATAAAATGATATTAATTTTGTTACGACTCGACATGCTTTGGCTGTAACAAGATCTCTGGGCAATAATCGCATCTTTACGAAAGAGCCGGAGAAATAAATTCCGCGCCCAAGAGCAATAAAATCCACCCCATGACTGCGCTCTTTGCATGCACAGAGAACAATGGAGCCACTTTGCATGTTCTGGAACGCGAAAGCACTGTGTGTGTAACAAAAAGAGAGAGAAAACTATTGCGCGCATTGTCTCTGAATGAGGAACGAGCTCTGAAAAGTGTTATGTTGTGCTATTTTCTTCAAAGCTGTTTACAAAGTAAGGAAAACGGAAGAAGAGAAAAATTATAATGATGGTTTATCCTTAAAATGGAGGAAGACAAATTTAAATCTTGTTCAATGCTCCGAGTGCATTCTGTGCTTTAATGAATTTGTGGCTCATCAAGTTATTTTAAATTAAATTTTAAGTCCACTCAAGCAAGTTTCAATGATTCTTTTCGTTCAAATTAACTTCAGTGATTTAAATTTTTTGACAATTTTTATCTCTACGGTAATAAATTAACTTGATGGGCAACAATGCAATTAACATTGAGATTTTTAATTCCTCAGGCGTTATCAAGCAGTTTAATCTAATTAATATTTGTAACAAATTTTAATTTTCTGATGCAAATTAAATTGGACCGGCGTCAGCACATTTCATTTTGTTGAATTTCAAACTAGCTCTACAATGCCTGGCGAGAGGTGGAATTCAAATTAGACTATTTCGACAGGCAACTGTAATTTCACATTTAGCTGCCACACAAAAGGTAATTTCACACAAGCTGCTGCAAAATCGGCGCCCACAAACACACACAAGTTAAATTAAAATGGCTGCGGCAAGAGGTTGGCAAATTAATTCCGAGCTCTCGCACACACACAAACACAACTCTTTCCTTGGCCACACGTTGTTGCCCAAAAGGGCCGTCAGAGGGCGGTTTTCGAGTGGCCCTCTTTGTTTTATTCAAAACGCATGCACGCGCGCATACCTGCCCCGTCCCTTTTTTTTTTACTTCTCCACACGCGTATAAATATTGAAGCGAAACCCCTTTTCTCTCCCTGAAAAAAAAAGAAACTTTCTGCGCAAACAAATAACATTTGGGGATTACGCGTGCCGCACACCAGCAGCCACGTGACGACGACGACGATTTATGAAAAAGCCACTTTTGGCTCAAAGAAGAGCCGAGTCATTCCTCAAACTCGCTTTTGACGCATTTCGCAGCCGCAATGACTCGGCGGATTCTCGTGAATGGCCGGCCCGCATATATTCATAACATGGAAATGTCTTCACAAATTGATTGCCGCGGCAAACAATAAGAGCCTCAAATTCAATCAGAGCATCAAAGAATTTTCCACACGCTCTCTTTTGATCTTGCTAATAGTGAGGAAGACAAAAGTCTCCCCATAATTAGTAAAGTTTTAATCGTTTCAGCTTTTACAAGAAAATTTTGATATGCACAAATTTAATTGTGGAAGTCTCTTAAGAGTGCCATGCTGCTAATTTTCAACCCCTCCAATCGATTTCCCTGTAAAATATTTTTTTCACTCATCATTAATGCAAACAAAACAGTCCGAATGACGCTTCTGATTGTTTTTTATTACTCCATTAGTTGTTGCAGAACATTTTAAACATTTCATTCAATTGAAAAAGTTCGCACTGAACGAGACGTGGATGGAAATGAATTAATTTTTGAAGCTTTTCAAATTTTGTATGGCTCTGCAACTTTCTAAAGTAGATTTTAATAGGCACCTTTGATATTGAATTAAATAATTGGCTG